CAGGGGTCGCACAACTTCCCTCAGGGCGCCAAATCCTCCCAACGCACTCAGGCCGAGCCGGAGACCAAGGCTGCCGGGGTGAGGGTGGAGCCCTGAGTGGGACGCTCACCACCGCGCCACTCTTAGGAGTTAGGAGTTAGGATCTCACTGTGTAGCTCAGGCTGGCCTCGAACTCTGGGAGCTCCTCCTGCCTCAGCTTCCTGAGCGACTGGCTTACAGCTGTGAACCACCACAGCTTTCCAGCTCCTGCTCTCGCAGGAGGCCAAAGCCGACCCCCAGGAAAAGTCCCGAATGACGGCGCTGGGTCACTAAGAGCCTATCAGATCTCCAAGGAAGGCGTCATCGCATGGCGACGTGAGGCTGAGACTTAAACGTGTTAAGATCAACTGGGTGTGGTGGTGGATGCTGCCGGGGAGGATGAGGCAGGAGGGTGACACGTTCCAGGCCAGCCTCAACTCAGGAAGACCCTGCCTTGAAAGGAAAAAGGGCCGCTGGGGAGATAGCTCAGCGGGACAAGCACGAGCACTGCCCAGCAAGTGCAAGGTTCTGAGTTCGATTCCCGATGCTAAGAAAAAGAAAAAGGGCCGACAGCGTGGGTCAGTAGTGGCAGGCGCTGGCATCGTGTGCTCGAGGCCCTGGGCCCTGTCCCTGGTACCGAGGACGGAGACCAGCTTGGGGGGGACAGGAGGAGGACAGTGCAGGGGCCAGAACCAGGACAGGGGAAGGGTGAAAGAGCAGAAGCCTGAGGAAGAGCCCCGGGCGCGGATGAGCGGACACAGCGGGACAGGGGGACACGGCGGGACAGGGGGACACGGCGGGACCGGGCCTCGAAGCCGCGCGATCCGCTCTGTCTGCGCCGGGTGCAGCCGCCCCTCTGGCTAGGGTCTGCCCCTTGGTCCCGGAGGACGCACCCTGTCCCGGTCGCCTCTTCAGAATAACAGCCCTGGTGTCTCCGGCCGCTCCGGACACAGACCTTCTGAAGGCGCTGTAGCTTTTAAAAAAAATCCCCCTTCTGCGGCACTTCCTCAAAAACAGCTATTTAACACCCGCGCCGGGCGGACGGTCCTCGCTGCAGCGGAGCTTCTGGCTCTAATGAGACATCTGGGGAACGGGCCCGGGCAGTCCTGGTAAGCGCACATCGGCCCCTGGGCCTGCCTGTGCCCGCTGTCGAGGGGTCGGTCCTGCTCGCAAGAGGCTTGTCTCGGGCTGCACCCTGCAAGGCCGTGGGAGGGAGTGTTATCGAGGGCAGGTTCCCTGCAGTCCTTTGGGAGCCGGAGCGCGGGGCTTTGTGCTCAGGCTTCGAAAACCCATCCGCTTGGGCAGCGGGCACCGAGACCCCGGGCCGCACCGAGACCCCGGGCCGCACCGAGATCCCGGGCCGCACCGACGGGCGGTTTTGCTCCCAGATTTCTCTTTTAACCGACATGACTTCTGATTTCACAAAGTGGCTCAGACTCCGATGCTCGGATGCAGGATCGGCCGCGGGTGCGTCCTCACATTACAGCGCTTATATAAATACCGAAGGCTCAGCTTTGACTTCTGCAGGGTAAAAACTAGGATGTGTGTGATTTTCCTGATCGTGTGATTTGCCCTCACTGTAGAAAATGGTTGAAAGGAATTTTACACATTTGTCTATGTGATGATTGTTTGAAGCAAATTCTAAAAGGATAAGAAAGTAGATAATATGAAATTATAGGCTAAACTTCTTTGTTTCTGCGGTAGGGAAAGTGGAACCCAGGACTTCTGCGCTGACCTGCGTCTCCAGTCCGTGTTTATTTTTTATTTTGAGACAGGGTGGCCGAATCATTGCACAGGCTGAGCTTGAATTTGTTATCCTCCTGCCTCAGCCTCCCAGAGAACTGAGATTACAGGCGTGCCTACCACAACAAGCCTAGGCAGAGATTTTAACCTAAGAACTAAGATTTAATGTAAGACTTAAAGAAGTCCCTGAACTGGCTTCCTAAACTGAGTTTTACTTGTATTATAAACCTGGATTTCATGGGAGGAGAGCACGTCTTTTACCAGATTTTAGAAGGCAGAGAGGCTTTGGAATTTTCTTTTTTTAAATTTTGGTATCTTTGAGACAGGGTCTCATTATGCAGCTCAGGCTGGCCTTGAGCTCACTTTGAAGCCCAGGCTGGTCTCGAACTCCCAACGACCCTCCTGCCTCAGCCTCCCAAGTGCTGGGATTATAGGCGTGCACCACCACGATGGGCTCGAGGTTTGAATTTTGATTTTCAGAATTTTTGTATTTTCAGAATTTTCAAATTCTCAAATAGTTAAATGGACTTTGAAACCGTTCAAGTACTTTATATATACACCTGTGTGGGTTCTGTACCCTCTTACGGTTACACAGCAGCCAGCTAACCGCTTCCAAGGCGAGGGCAGAGCCCTCGGAGTGCAGGAGGCTCTGGGTGCAAGATCTGCGCCCAGAACAACACAAATGTCTGCTAAATGTTCACTCTGGGGTGGACACCAGCTGTGAGGGAGACAGGGAAGAGGATGGTTCCCAGGAAATTCTGCAGGAAGAAAATTTGTACCACTCGGATTTCTCACGGTGTTCTTGGTTTCTGTGATGTTGCATAAATGCCCTGGCATTTTGAGCACCTTCTTGAGCTGTCTCTAACTTTGTCTTTTGCAGGGTCTTCAGGTTATTCATGAAGCATGGTAAGTTGATATTTTAAAATCTTTGTGCCCCTTTTAGTTTACAAATAAAATGTTTGGGTAGAATAAATGAACAGCTGAAATGGTTTGCAAAGTTCATTGTTAAGTGTCTGGGACATATTTTTGAGATTAAGATCATTTCATTTATTTAAATGATTGACAAAATTCTGTTTCATTAAAGATAACGTCCTTCATCTTTTTTCTTTTCCTTTCTTTTAATTTTATTTTGTTGACCTCTTTTTCTAAATTGACTTTCCTTGATTTATAATTCCTCGCCAAATTTTTAGTGTTTTGGGGACAGGATCTTGCTATGTAGCACAGGCTGGCCTAGAACTTGTGGCAATCCTCCTGCCTCAGCCTCCTGTGGGCTGGGATTACAGGGATTACCATGCCCAGCCAAAAGACTACTTTCTTTCAGGAAAGTTAAATTTCACTGGTAAATTTTATAACTCTGCATTCTGGGGCTGGGGATATAGCTCAGTGGTATAGTGTCTGCCTGGCCAGCGCAAGGTCCTGAGTTTGATTCCCAGCAGCAGAAAGAAAAAATAACTGTAAAATGTAACTCCGCATTCTGGCATCGTCCCAACAGACTTGTGTCGAGCAAGACAGGCTGGGTCAGGCGTTTGAGGATGCTTTCGAGATCCTGAGGCAGCACTCGGCAGCGGATCTCCAGTCCTTCCCAGGTAAGAAGCCTTGGTCCCACCCAGAAGGGTAGTGATGGCGGGTGTGGCGGCAAGTGCCTGTCATCCCAGCACTCGGGAGGCTGAGGCAGGAGGATCGTTGAGAGTTCGAGACCAGCCTGGGCTACAAAGTGAGCTCAAGGCCAACCTGAACTGAATAGCGAGACCCTGCCTCTAAAAGACCAAAAAATAAATAAATAAATAAATAAATAAAAATCCAGGCCGTCCGTCCCTCTGACCTTGACTGGTTCTTGTTCTGAATACTGTAACCTCCGCGCTGTGTGCGGTTCCTCAGTTGGAGAGCCACTCATTTAATGACCCGGTCACAGGACCAGAACTCAGGGCTCAAACTCCTCCCTAAACGAGGACTGTCTGGATCCAAGAAGGGTTTCCCATGACCAATTCCCCGGATCCCTACAGCCTGCTTGTTTTTGTGTGCGGGGAGGCTGAGGCAGGAGAATCGCCTGGATGCCCGGGACAGCCTGGCCGCACAGCAGGATCCTGCACACACACTCTACCCATCCCTGTCCCCACATCTGTGCAGATTACAAGAGCTGCCTGGCGCTGCTGAACCACTGGCCCCCGCTGAGAGCCGGCCCGGGTGTGCTGTCCGCGGAGGAGCCTGTCTCCCTCTCCGGTTGGCGATCTGTCCTTGTGAGTAGTCCCACGCCCACCCTGCGAGGGACGGGATGGGCTGGAGGGACAGGGTGGGCAGGAGGGACTGTCGCGTCTGATGGAGTCGCTCTGGTTGCCCACTGGCCCGCTTCTCCTGATCGCCCAGGTGACCCGAAAGCTGGCAGCCCCGCCTAAAAGACAGCAGCAGGACGCAGGCCCCGGTCCCATCTCCTCACTGGCTTTCTTTGCGTGGCAATCTTTCCAAGAATACAATATTATATTAACCTGCTCCTTTTTCCTTTTTAGGGTCTTTTTTTTTTATTTTGAGACAGGGTCTTGGTATGTAGTCCAGGCTGGCCTTGAACCCACTATATGTAGCCCAGGCTGGCCTCAAACTAGCCACGATCCTCCTGCCTCAGCCTTCTGAGTGGTGGAATCACAGGTGTGCACTGCCATGCCTGGCTTTTTTTATTTCTTGAGTTAATTCCACTTTTTGGGCCAAGTTACCAATAATTTAGCAGCTGCCTGCAGAAGAAGATGGCCATGTCTCCATTTATGTAGTTTTTTGTTTGTTTGTTAAGACAAGGTTTTGGTACACATCCAAGCTGGCCTGGAACTTGCTATGGAGTCCAGGCTCAAATTTGTAATCCTCCTGCCTCAGTCTCTGAGTGCTTTCTGTGTTTTGTTTTGACGTTTTTTTTGGTACTGGGAGTTGAACTCAGGACCTCATGCTTGCCAGGCAGGCACTGTGCCACTGAGCTAAATCCCCGGTCCTCTGTGCTGTTTTACATTGTTTTCTTCCTGCAGTTACCTTTTTTTGTGTGTGTGTACCGGGAATCAAACTCAGGACCTTGTGCTTGCCAGGCAGGTGCTTGTGCCGCTGAGCTGTATCCCCAGCCCTCCTGCAGTTACCTTTACTGAGCAGTCTAATAGGTTGGGATCCAAATGTGAATTTGTTTTTTTGAGTCAGAGTCTCATTGGGTAGCCCAGGTTGGCCTTGAACTCCTGGCAATCCTCCTGCCTCAGCTTCCCGAGTGTTCAGATTATAGGTGTGCGCTACCACGCCTGGCTTTTATACCCTTTTTAAAAAGAGAGCAACATAAACAAGTCCACTGTTGGCTTTGTTTTTTGTTTGTTTGTTTGTTTGTTTTTTTGTACTGGGAATCAACTCACAACCTCGTGCTTGCCAGGCAGGCGCTGTGCCGCTGAGCTACATCCCTGGCCTGTTGTTTTTAGTGACACTAACAACAGCAAGGGGCAGGTGGGAGCCCTCACGGCTCTCAGTGAGATCCCCGGGCGGGCACTGGTCGAATCTTGGGACTCTTGGGCCTGGTCATGCCCTGCCTGTGGCTCGACCTTGGAAAGAGCAGTTCACAGCTGCTGCAGTGAGGCTGGGAAGCAAGGGACGCCAGCTCTGCCGGAAGTCGAGCAGAGACGGGTCAGGGCTTTCCTCTGAGTTGAGCATCTGACTGCAGCTCTGCACTCTGCGTTTGGAAATTTGCAGGGAATGCATGTATTCTGTCAACCAAAACTGGAGGCACAAATGGGCCAAAATGGATGATTCTCAAATTCCTGTCAAAATGGAAAAGAGAAATGTACACAGTGGCAAATGCTTGTAATCCCAATACTTGGGAGGCTGAGGCAGGAGGATCTTGAGTTTGAGGCCAGCCCGGCAAGACTCTGCCTCAAAAAATAAAAATGGACCAGGGATACAGCTCAGCAGCGCAAGTGCCTTCCTGGCAAGTGCAAGGTCCTGAGTTTGATTCCCGGTACCAAAAAAAGAAAAGTAACAATATAAAATAAAAAACAACAAAATGCTTATTTGCTGCAAGCTGAGCTTGCCGTAATGCAAGCTTTTACTTTGAGTGTGTTAGGGTTTGAAGCATAGCATGCATAAGTTGATTTTTCACCTTGAAGATGCGTGATGATCACATTTAAGTGAGCAGTCAAGTCCCGCCAGAATGCTTGAGCCGCAGAAGACTGGGGTGTTCAGTTCCGCTATGTGATTTTGCAAAGCATTCTTTGAGGTGCATTGAGTTCGGCATATGCAGTTCAGGCTGGCCTTGAGCTCACTTTGTTGCCCAGCCTGCCTCGAACTCGCAACCATCCTCCTGCCTCAGCCTCCCAAGTGCTGGGATTACAGGCGTGCACCACCATGCCCGGCTTGACTGCAATGTCTTTTTTGAATTACATTCTTTGGAAGCCAACAAGACTGCCTCGCCGGTCTTCCTGAGAGTATTCATCTGTCCGTGTTCCACTGAGCACCCTTCCTTTATCCACTTTTTTTCCTGTATTCTGTTTATTTTGAGATGAGTTGACATCACGCTGGACTAAAACTAATAAATAAGCAAGCACTGATTTTTCTAGCATGAGCAATATTTCTGTAATTATAACAATATCATGAGCAAAATCTGCAAAACTACTTGACATATTTTTGTACTTCCCCACCATAGCTGCAAAAAAAAAAAAAAATGCTCCCCCCCACATACTGGGGATTGAACCCAGGGCCTCAGCACTGAGCTACATCCAAGCCAATTTTGAGACAGGGTCTTGCCAAGTCACTAAGTTGCTGAGGCTAGTCTGGGATGATCCCCCTGCCTCGGCCTCCCAGAGTGCTGGGATTACAGGTGTGTGTGTTGCTACACCCAGAAAAAGTATTTTATCTTACTGCATTATTTTGTAAATAGCACCACCAACCCAAGTTTAATAGTGGAATATTATTTGTGTAGAACAGTGCTTCAGACTTCTATTACCTTGAAGGAAATATTCACCCGTCTCTGCAGAGCACAGCTGGAAATCAGTTGGTCCCACCTGCACTGTCCCAGCCCAAGGGAGCAAAAGGTACGTTGTCCACCACTCACACACTAACACTCACACACACACACACACACACACACACACACACACTCCCAGTAATGAACTGACTCCGCGTAGCTGCTGGTTTTCCATCATACAGGTTTTCTTTTGTTTTTTTGCTTTTATCTTTTTGAGACAGGGTCTCGCTATGCAGTTCAGGCTGGCCTTGAGCTCACTTTGTGGCCCAGGCTGGTCTCGAACTCACAAGGATCCTCCTGCCTCAGCCTCCCGAGTGCTGGGCTTATAGGTGTGCACCACCACGCCTGGTTCATACAGTTGTTTAAACAGCCCTACTCCATTTGGGAATCTTGGAATAAAAATACTTCTCCACACAAGAAAAAGCAAGGCAGAGTGTGGTGGTGCGTGTCTGTATATCCCATCATTCGGGAGGCTGAGGCAGGAGGATTGCCATGAGTTGAGGCCAACCAGGACTACGAAGTGAGTTCAAGGCCGTGCTGAACTACATAGTGAGACCCTGTCTCAAAAAGACCAAAAAGTTTTTTTAAAAAGAACAGAAAAATCTACTCGCACCTTCTGCGTGAGGTTCCATGCTAATTTAACGAACCATAAATTTGGATTGGGGGGTCAGTACTGGGCATGAAGCCCAGGCCTTCTCACTGAGCTACATCCCCAGCCCTTTGGAATCTTTTTAAACTTTGAGACAGGGTCTCACTAAGTCACTCAGGTGCCCAGGCTGGGCCCAAATTTGTAGCCCTGCCTCAGCCTCCCAGAGTGCTGAGAACAAGGGCCCAGCTGGAATCGTGAGCGCAGAATATTAGACAGTGATGGCCGCACGTCACCGGCCCCAGACACTGCCGGGTACTGAGGAGCCGCCGCGGCGCTCTGGCGCTGAGCAGGAAGCGGTGGAGTGAGAGGGCTCTGCCACCGCCCGGACGCACAGCTCGTCCTAACCACAGCTCCCCACCCAGAGTCTCCGTGCTCAGATCGGCTGCACTAGAAGTCCGCTGTGAAAACTAAGTGAGGCTGGGCGTGGGGGCTGAGGCAGGAGCATCCCAGTGAGTTTGAGGCCAACATGGACTACATAGTGAGATGACTTTAAATTACACATTGTCATAGTTAAAGATATTTTATTTTATTTTGTTTCTTCTAAGCTTTCTTTTTATTTAAAGTTTTGTTTTGTTCTGTTTTTGAGACAGGGTCTCACTATGTAGTGCAGGCTGCCCTTGAACTCACAGCAGCCTTCCTGCCTCAGCCTCCTGAATGCTGGGATTACAGGTGTGCACCCCCACATGTGACTATTTAAAGTTATTTTAAATGAATATTTTTCAGAAGTTATATTTCGTTCCTATACTGTAGCATACTGTATCCTAAGACCATAAAATTCTTAAAAAGCAGTAATATTCTAACTCCAGCAGGGAAGTTCAAGGCATTCCTTAGGTATGGGTGCAGAAGAATGATAAGAAATATTTTTTTTTTTTTTGCATAAGGAACATTTGTCTTAAGATCTTTTTAATTCCATAATTGAAAAATAACAATGTTTATTAAATTTCTACAACTCAAACAAAAGTGTGTAAAATATAAATGACCCAGGACTGAGAGTTCAAGGCCAGCCTGGACTACAGAGCAAGACGCTGTCTCAAAACAAAACAAAACAAAATAAAACATATGCAAACCCTCCTTCTCTTTTTTTTTTTTTTTTCTTTTTTTTATACCGGGAATCAAACTCAGGACCTTGTGCTTGCCAGGCAGGCGCTTGTGCCACTGAGCTATATCCCCAGCTCCTCCTCCTCTTTTCTTCCTGTGCCCGAGTAACCTGACTCCAGCTTGACCTTCATCAATAGCAAATCTGCACATTGTTCTATGGTTTAAGATAGATTACTTTCTAGAAAAAAGTGCAAAGGAAAATTATCTCACTTCTAATTTTTATTTTATTTTATTGTTTTTAGAAACAATATTCTTAGAATAGCAGAACTCTTCTGAAACACCAAGTTGTCAGTGGTGGAGTCTAATTCTTAAATACCATGCATATTTGTTTATCCAAAAAATTTTTTTTCTAGAAATATCTAAGATGCTAGAACTTGTCTTTGCATTTGGGGCTTTTAAAAAATCTTTGCCCTGAGTGCATACCTGTTGGGTTTTTTGTTTATTATTTTCATTTTGTTTTGTGTTTGAGATATTTGGGATGGAACCCAGGACCTTCACTCTAAACTCTACCTCTAGCCCCCTTTTAATTTTTCATTTAGAGACAAGATCTCAGTCGGTCGCCCCTTTTCTGAGGCTGGGTTCAAACTGGAGATCCCCCTGCCTCAGCCTCCCAAAGTGGGATTATAGGTGTGCGCCACCCCCTCTGGGTTAACACTGTTACTTTTAAAAAAATAAAGTTTAAGCATTTTTTAAAATTGAAAAGAAAATTTAAGAGCTAATGAAGACCAACCTCACAGAGAGGCAGACTCTTCTCTCTCGCCGTGGCTGTGATCAGGCCGGGGCAGAGGATCGAGTTGAGGCCGTGTGAGCGCCGGCCCTCAGAGACCGGAGGCTGCCGTGAATGACGACCAAGGGGGCCCGGCCACCTGGCTCCGCGGACAGCAGCCAGGGCCAACGCCTCTGCTCCTGCAGATGTGGGAGTCTCGGCCCGCACCACGGTGAAGAGCATCGGATTCCCGCTGCCCTCACTGCCCCGGATCCGCATGGCCGCGTCCTCCCTTGAGCATTTCCACTCTGCCTTTTTCTATTTTTTATTTTTTCAAGTCATTCTTCAGCTCCGGAGTCTGCATCTTTTTTTTGTTTTGTTGCTTTTGTTTTTTGAAGCAGGGTCTTGCTGGGTAGTGCAGGCTGGTGTCTTGAGCTCACTGTGTAGCCCGGGCTGGCCTCGAACTTGCGATGATCTCCTGCCTCAGCCTCCTGAGTGCTGCGATTCCTTGCAAGAGTAAGCATCTCTACCCAAGTTGTCACTGAGTTCCCCTAACCTTACTTTCTATTTGAATAGTGTTTCCCATCTGACACAGACCTCATAACCATGCACTCGTTTGACTAGACTCATTTGAATGAAGCTCCTTCAAATGACTTGCTTTCTGGAAATACCTTTTGAGGCAGCTATTTTATTTTTATTTTGTTGCAGTACTATGGATCACATGCAGGACCTTTGCACTGAGCAACTTCCCTATCCCTCCCCTCCACTTTTTTTAGCAGTGTCTCGTGAAGTTGCTAAGTTGCCCGGGCTGGCCTTTGACTTGGGATCCTCCTGCCTCAGCCTCCGAGTGCTGGATTCCCGGCGTGCAGTACCTCTCTATAACCAGGGAACTTTCAGTTCATGGGCTGTTTGCTCTGTAGGAAGGCTGAGGTCTGACACTGTACTAGGCATTGGGGTCAGCTATGCTGGAAGTCCTTGTTCGCAGGGGCCTCAGTGTCCCCTCTCCCGGAGAGGATGACAGGACTTGGGACGATGTCACAGCAGAACGAGACCTTGGTGGGCCAAATCCATGTCTGAGCTCCACATCCCGTAGAGGGACGCCCTCAATGCATTCCTAAGGGAAAGAGTTGGAGGAAAGCCTGCCCCAAAGTAGCTGCTCAGCAAATCCTGCGAGCCCAGCACTCAGGAGGCCGAGGCAGGAGGATTTCAGCACATTTGAGGCCAACCTGGGCTCCATAGTGGTTCAAGGCCAGCCTGAATGACCCAACTAGACCTGGGCTCAAAAAACAGTAAAAAAAAAAGCCCTGCTCCTCCCTGAGGGCTGCCTGGGCACCGCCTGGTCTGACTCTGTCTCTCCGCAGGCCGGAGGAAGCCGCGGCTGTTCGAGTACCTGCACGAGTCACTGTGTGACCCCGAGATGGCCTCGTGTATCCAGTGGGTGGACCGGGCCCGGGGCGTCTTCCAGTTCGTGTCCAAGAACAAGGAGCGGCTGGCAGAGCTGTGGGGCCGCAGGAAGGGCAACCGGAAGCCCATGACCTACCAGAAGATGGCCCGGGCCCTGCGCAACTACGGCCGCACTGGGGAGGTGACCAAGGTCCGCAGGAAGCTGACCTACCAGTTCAGCGAGGCCACCCTGCAGCGCCTGGCACCCAGCCGCCCGCTGGGCAAGGAGGGCCTGTCCGCCCCAGCCACGCAGCCTCTGCCCGAGCACCCGGCCCTCAGCAGCTGGAGCACAGGCCTCGGCCACCTGTATGCCGGCCACCACGGTCTGGGCCACCATGACTACCAGGATGCCCACCCGGCCCCGCCTCGGGGCTGGCTGAGCCACTAAGCTGCCCAGATGAGCTCGAACTTGCGATCCTCCTGCCTCAGCCTCCCACCGTGCCTGGCTAGAGCTTTCTCTTACAGCAAATGCAATGAATTGCACGTCCACGGGGCCCACGTCCCAGGTCCCGCCGACCCCGACTGTGGGCTGTTGGAAAGATGGCAAAGAATACGCCTGGACAGAGCAGTCAGGGAAGTCACAGCTGGAGCGTCTCTACCGGGCTGACTGCCAGGCCATCGACGGGCAGCATCATAACAATGCGACCACGTGTCCCCTCGACATCCGCCTCAGCCCTGCATCCGGTGCTGTGGGACTCCGGCTCACCCCCAACGTCAACGCGGACGACCCTGAAAGCAAAATGGTTTGAATCAGTTCTGGACAAGAGGAGAGGAGCCAGACAGGTGTTGGGGCGCACACCTGTAATCTCAGCACTCAGGAGGCTGAGGCAGGAGGATCACTGGGAGCTCAAGGCCAGCCCCTATGTCAAAAGAACAAGAGTTAAAGACATCGTATTACAGTGACACATGTTTATGGAGCACAGCTCGTAACAGCTAAATCTTGGAAGTAGCCTATATGTCCATCAACGGATGAGTGGACGAAAAAATGTGTAGTATTTTTTTTTAAATGTGTACTCTTGAAAAAAAAGTGTAGTATTTACACACAGTGGAGAACTACTCTGCCGTGAAGGCTAAACTTGAGTCATTTGTAGGAAATGGGCGCACCTTGAGGCCATAGTGTTAAGTGAAATAAATCAGACACACAAGCTTCCATATCTCATGGTTCCTCTTACGTCAACAACCCAAACTAGAAATAATTTATAGAGGAAAAGAAGAGGTAGCAGGAAACAGATTTGCAAAGGGGGAGGGGATGAAGAGTTGGAGGGAGCAGGGAGGGGTGCAGAAAGATGAAGACGTGTGTGTGTGTGTGTGTGTGTGTGTGTGTGTGTGTGTGTGCGTGTACCAGCTCCCCGTGACGAAGGTCGCTGCTCTGCAACGCGCACCAGTAAAGACAGAAATTAAAAACAAGACATGAGCCAGGCACGGTGGCACATGCCTGTAACCTGTAATCCCAGCACTCGGGAGGCTGAGGCAGGAGGATCGTTGCGAGTTCCAGACCAGCCTGGGCTACAAAGTGAGCTCAAGTCCAGTCTGAACTGCATGGCGAGACCATGTCTCAAAAAGACAAAAAAAGAACCCAAGATGTGGTGTAGATACGCAGTCAAGTATTACAAAGAACCAGCTCTGTCATTTGCAGGAGAAGGGATGGATCTGGAGACCACAATGCTAAGTGAAATAAGCCAGACACAAAAAGACAATTTTTCTTCTGGGGTTTTGTTTTTCTGAGACAGGGTCTCACTAGGTAGCCCAGGCTGGCCTAGAACTTGAGGCAATCCTCCTGCCTCAGCCTCCTGAGTGTGAAGGCGTAGATGGAGACTGGCAGCTGCCAGAGGCCCTGGCAGGTGCGTGGGGGAGGGAGATGTGGCTCTGGCACCAGAGTTTAGAAGGCACAGATGCTGGTGTCCATTGCGTAGCGTGGTGCCACAGTAACTTGTGCATTTCAAAACAGCTAAAAGAGCGTTTCAAGTGTCCTTGCCCTGAGAAATAATTACTATTGAGGGGGAGGTGCTAACGACCTGTAGTGGCCACGCCGCAGCCCCCAGACCTTGGGCAGGACAGCCACTGGGCCCCCTCTTCCCCGCAGCCTGCGGTCTGTTACCCGTGGTGCCAAGAAGAATAAAGGGACCGCGGCCACCCTTCAGGACAGCGCTGAGGCGGTGCCCCTCTGGCCGCTCCGGCCGGCCGCCTTTCTTGTTATCCTGCGACTCAGCCACTGGGAGGTGCTGTTGCCCCAACCTTGAACCAGGCCGCTCTGCCCTTCAAATGGCTCTGCAGAGCCGGATCTACGACACTTGGAGGGGACAAGTACTGCTAGGGCGCAGAATCTATCCAAGACCTGTACTCACAGCACTCGGGAGGCTGAGGCAGGAGGATTGCCAGCCTGAACCGCATAGCCACACCCTGTCTCAGAAAGACAAAAAGAAAAGAGAGAACTGGACTCGACACTCACACCGCCCCTCCACAAAGTATACAAGCTCCACGAAGCATTTTGAAGAAACACGCTGCGCACAGGCAGTCCTGGCAGGAAGTCCTTGTACTGGGAGGCTGAGGCAGGAACTGCTCACATAGAGGGTTAGGCGGAGCGCCTGTCACATGCTAAGCCCGGGAGCCCGACTTCCTGCTCTGGGACATGAGCACACAGTGGGTCAGGAGGAGGCAGGAGGATCACAAGTTCAAGCCCCACATGAGCCACTCACCAGGAACCTGTCTCAAAATACAAATATGATTTACGGCTCAGCCAGAGGCCCTGGCTTCCATCCCAGCGCCGCAGAGGACGAGGTTGGAAGGGAACCAGCGACGAGGGGCGCGCAGACCGGTCGGTGGAAGGGCCGCGGCCTGAGCCCGGCCTCCGCCCCGCCCCGCCCCCCAAGCGGGCAGGCCCACGCTCCAGCCAGTCACTGTCTGGACTCCTGCGAGCAGGAAGGGGCAGGAGCGACCTCCCGGCCTTTACTGGCCCCTGCTCCCTGCCTGTGCCACCCGGCCCTCTATTCCGCCCCTTCCATCGGGGACAGCCCAGTGGAACCCCTGCCCACGGCAGGGCTGGGGGAGCCCAGCTTCACCCCCCTCCCTGGCTCCTGAAGGCAGCGTCCCAGGATGTGATTTCTCAGCCCACATAGTAAAATTTAAGTAGTTCCTTCTTTTATTTATTATTTTATAAATGAAGTCTTGATTTCTTTTTTTTTTTTTTTTTTTAAGTTTTTTTGAGACAAGGTCTTGCTATGTGGTGCAGGCTGGCCTTGAACTTGCAGCAATCCTCTTGCCTCAGCCTCCTGAGTTCTGGGATAACAGGCGTGTGCCTGCCACCATTCCAGAGCTGGTTTGGTGTTGTTGTTGTTTTTTTTCTTTTTTTTTTTTTGGTCTTTTTGAGACAGGGTCTCGTTGTGAAGTTCAGGCTGGCCTTGAGCTCACTTTGTAGCCCAGGCTGGTCTTGAACTCACAGTGATCCTCCTGCTTCAGCCTCACAAGTGCTGGGATTACAGGGGTGCACCACCATGCCCGGCTTTTGTTTTTTTTGGACAGGGTCTCACTCACTATGCACTTCAGGCTGGTCTTGAGCCCACTTGATAGCCCTGGTTGGCCACAAACTTGCATTGATCCTCCTGCCTCAGCCTCTCAGGTGCTGGTATTACAGGTGTGCAGCACCAAACCCGGTAGGTCTATGGTTTCTGATCCCCTGAGTAGCTATATCCCAGGTACTGAATCCCCTCTTGAGATGGCTCCTAGAGGGCTAGGGCCGCCGTAGCTTGTGCTAGAGAGCTTGCCCAGCAGGCATGAGGCCGAGTTCAACACTCCTGGGGGGGCAGGGAGCTGCTGTTTCCAGCATTCTGAGGCGGTGAGTGTTGCAGGAAATGTGATCCCCAGAGCTAGTTTTTCATGCAAGGAGAGTCACTTTCAGGCCGTCTCAGCCACTTTCCATTGCTGGACGCTGTGCTTGACACTCAGAAAGAAAGCAGGGGGGCTGGGGATTTAGCTCAGCGGCACAGCACCTGCCCGGCAAACGCAAGGTAGTGAGTTCGATTCCTGGTACCGGGAAAAAAAAAAAAAATCAAAAAAGAAAGAAAGCAGGGTTGGCTTAGTTTTCCTATGGGTTTCGGGACATTCACTCCACAGTCGGGCGGCTCCAAGGCGCAGATGCGCGGGCCGAGGGGCCGGGGGAGGGGAGCTGCTCCCCCCACCCAACCCCCCAACCTCCCCCTCTCCCGGGGCTGGGACGCAGAGAGTGGGGGTGGGGCCGGGGACAAGCACACAGCCCCAGGCCCAGCAGACCCGCCAGCGCCAGCACGCTCAACCGTAAATTCAGTCAGGGACCGGCCGGCCGATGGGGACGTCACCCCACGATCCAGTCATCCCCGAAAACCCCACTGCCGGACGCGCGGGGCTCTGAGGGGTTCAGGTCTCATGAAAGACCAGCCATTCCACAGTTCCCCTCTTGCAGAGACCGTGGCTGCTCCTGCAGCGAGGGCTCGGGTCTGCGGCTCCGCGCGGGGCTCCCAGCGCTCTCTGGGCTGCCCTTGTGCTTCCCGACTCGGCCTCCTCCCCGCGGGGAGATCGGCTGGAGCGCTGGACAACTTCCTGCTTCTCTCTGTTTTGATCTTCTGCCTCTGTGACAGTAAATTGCGGTAACAACTTGAAGGAGAAGCTCAGCTGATTGGTTTAGCGCAGTTCCGGGTGTGGATGACGCATTCCCTGAGGCCGGAAGGCCCGCCTGCGTGTGGGGGGCACCAGCCAATAGGCTTGCAGCCTGGGTGCAATGAAAAGGGAAAGGGGCGGAAGGCGCACCGGTTTCATTGGAGGAACTCCAGCCTTCAGCGTCCCTCTCGGACGTCCGTCTCCTGGCCTCAGCCTTCCGGTGTGGACGCTTTGGCTTCCCTCGCGGACTCACACCGGACTCTGCAGTGAGCTCCGGGCCTGTGACTTTGTCTGGATCGCAGCTCTCCAGCAGTGAGCGCGCACAGGGCCCCGTGCTGTCGTCCACAGCTGACCTGCAGGCGGCCACTGAGCGCCTGCCCTGTAAATCGTATGTGCACACCGTGTCCGCCATTTGTTTAATAATAACAGTGGCTGACACTTATCTGCACTTGTGTGCACCAGCCGCTTTGCTACTGAGACACCGTATAAATAATCTGCCTGCTTTTGTTCAAGCAGTGCAGCGTGTGTACTTAAATTATTAGCTGGGTCACTGTGGGTCTCAAAGGGCAGAGGGCGTGGTTCAGATAGAAACACACACACACGCACACACACACACACACTGCAACAACAAAGCTCTGCGCAATGTCTGGTTCCATCCTCTGGAATTGTCCGATGTTTAATGTCCTCCTGTGCTCGTATCTGAGGCAGGCTTTAGGAAGATGTTCTTTCCTCGGAATTGTGCAGCGATACGCTAACATGAGTTCAGAGCGCT